TCGTACCAAACATACAACAATTCTAAATTCTCATCATTGATATTATCTATAGTTTAGTCATAAAACCGTTCTCATGATTTCAGCTCTCAGCTTAAATCATATAACATAGCTTCTTTTTCTCCCACTGCCTTTAAGTTAGTGAACATCCTCTATCCTACACCACTAGAGACCCCGCAGCCATTGTTCACTAACATAATAAGAAAACAACCGTACTACTTCAGAATTAACCACGATTTTATTTAGCTTAACCAAACAAAAAAGCCAGCCAAAAATATTGAAATTCATATTATTATTTTCTAAATAATCGCATTTCATCTAGTAAATCTCAGTCAGATACATTTCAAAATTCGCCTTCAAATACCATTACATGAAATGTACGTATTTTCCTCATTTATCACTAAAGAATTTCCATGGCAATTACGCGAGATTTGAGAGTCGATCAATATTAACCTTTTAATCAAATCGACCTACAATATAGTACTGTTTAGAGCAAGTTCGATCTGTTACAAGTGAAATTATACTGTACCTCACAGATAACTTTATACAAATTGGAGTATTTTATTTTATTTATTTGTTTATGTGAGAGGAGGAACGAACCTTGCGAGTAGAGGAATTTGGGGAAGAAGGAGGAGATTTGACGAGATCTTCGGGATCTTCATGGAGGGTTTCGTTTCGAAGCGGCGAACTTGACGTTGACTCTTTCTTATCGTCCGCCATTTTCAAAGTAAAAATAAAATAAAAGAGAGAGAGAATGAGAGATTTTTTCTCAAATATTGGGGTTTGTTGCAAATTTATTGCTTTTACAGGGTGGTGTCGGGGATACCAAAAACATCAATTTTATTAAATTACATATTAAAATCGCCATATATATAATAAGGGAAAAGCGTCAAAAATATCCCTCAATTTTAATTTATTGTTTAAATTTATTCTTGTCGTTAAAATAAAGTTAATTTTACTCTTCTCATTACTAATTTTAACCAAATTTATCCCCCATTAAACGGATTGACTCAACTTGACCCACATTTTTTTAAAAAAAAGTAAAAATTTAAGAAATCTCATAGTGTAATTCAATAATTACACTCTGTCCCGATAAATTTAGTATTTACGAAAAATCTCTTAAATTTGTTGTGCCGTGATACTTTAGACTCTAGTGATACATGGTAAGTTTAAACTGTTGAGAAAAAAATGGAGAAAAAATGGTAAAATTAATGTTGTTACTAAAACATCTTATTTTACGGTAACAGATCATTAATCAGCATAAATTCAATACGTAATTGGATATTAATTTCAAATTTTGAAAATCAAAGATTATATCATCTAGTTTGAATACATTTTTTATGAACAATCTGTTAAATTTCGAACTACAGTAATTTTATTATTGTTACTGTGGATTTTTCAAGATGAATACTTCAATTTTGATGAGACATTTCGAAATTTGGGTTAACAAATTGCAGTATGAAAGTTACAAAATCGAGGGAATCGTTGTTGGAGATTCAATTTCGTTTTCTATCATTATTGATACAATATCTACTACATGTATCAGTGCATTGACTAAACATTATAACATGTGGTACATATCTAATACATGTATCAGTACATCGACAAAACACTATACACACTGATTCTATATGTATCATCAAGCACAGTTGATGACGCAGTTATTAAACTTAGTGAATGATACATTATAACAATTTTCAAAACATGTATCAGTACATCAACTAAACAACTAATACCTTACTGATACATGATATCAGTTTTCAGAAAATTCATACTACATGAAAAAATATGTGATACATATATACTACATGTATCAGTGCATTGACTAAACATTATAACATGTGGTACATATCTAATACATGTATCAGTACATCGATTAAACAACGAGTTACATTGAAAATCAACGAAGGCATTATACATTAGTTTAAGAAACAAAATCAACTAGATATATTAAATATGAAATCATATGTATTATAAAGGATGAAGTACAAAAAAAATAAATCAACAATTGATTTGTTGAAAGCAAAAAGAAATAAATGACCAAGAAATCCCCCTACACTTTTACTTTGCTCTATACCAACTTCTGTATCTTTGTCTCACTGTCAACAATGGAAAATGATTTCATTAGCAAAAGACGATCACTGGAAACGATGATGTTGCAAGGAGCAATGAGGATACATCATCTCTTTCACTTTTTCCTTATATATTTTGTAAAAAATGTGAAAATAGAGGAGATCTGGTAGTTCTTCGAAAAAAATTGTGAAGCGAAAACTTACTTGATTCTTGAAAAATCTTATGGAGAGAGAATAAATCTGAAATTAAAAAATGAAGTAAAGATTGAGGGAGTGAAAATAGGAAGAGGTTAAAGGGAGGGATTAAGGGAGTGAAATTAGGAATAGAAACGTGTGCTTGAATGTGAAACTTAATGTATCTAGAACAATGGGATTTGAAAGGAAAAGAAGCGATTTTGGAGATATTTTAAAATAGTAGGGAATAATGAAAATTATAAAAAATAAAAGTGTGTATTTAAGTAATTTATCCTTAAAAAAATCTATTTCTTATTTTAGCCCAATAACTCAACCTCATTTAAAATAACCTTCCCCATTCTCCCACATCTCCTTTACCACCTCGCCTTAGTCAAACCATTTTTCAAACCTACTTTTTCTCTTTAACTTGGCAATATGGGTTTCGAATATCTCCTAGACCACTGCCTTTTTATCATGCAACAAGTAATATATATGAAGGACTAGTGATACAACAAAAATAGGGTGGAAATCCAAACTAAGCGTGTTCAACTTTCACAGTTACAATGAAAGTAGTCAGTTTGATTTCCAGATAAGTGTCATACGTTTATTCTTGTTCTTTCCAATTCCAGAAGATTCATCAAGTACCAACTATTCTGTTTATTCCTTTACACACTAAAACCACCATGCCTGAGCGCCTGTATATGACTTTTTCATCGTTCCCTTGGCACGAAAGTATACAGGCAACAACGAGGATTGACTCAGGCGATGGGTAAAGGTGATGTGGGAGAATGGGGACGGGTTATTTTAAATGGGGTTGAGTTATTAGGTCAAAATAAGGAATAGAGTTTTCTTAAAAATAAATTCGGGTCAATTTGGGTAAATCCATGTTTTGGACGGCAAGAGGCGACAAGGGCATGCCTTGCCACGCGGCAAGGCGCTTGCCTTTTTGAATAAAGGCGCCAATTAATACCAAAAATTAAAAATATTTAATTGCATATTTTATCCAAAATTTTAATAGTAATAACAAATATTAGCAAATATTCAATTCAAAAATTAATAGTAGATACTAAAAAGTCTAAAACGTTAAAGACCAAATAATTCAAAATACAATAAACTAAAACCTTAAAAGTCTATTCTTCTTCAAAACTATCCAACTCTTGAAGATCAAAATCCTCTACATCATTATATTGCTCTTCATCTTCTTCCTCCACGTATTCTTCATCAATTAGTGTTTGAGTCCTACTTGAAGATGAACTTGTAGATGTATTTCCTACTCATTTGCCCTTGTCAAGTGCTCTTGATCTTGAAGAAAGTCCCCTAAGATGATAGATATTCTCATCCGCTCCAATTGCCGTAGCAACACCACCCCAGGTAAGATCATCATCCTCATATACTAGTTCATCATCTTGATCTTCGGGGCATCCAACTAACCATTCATTTGAATCATCAATGTTATCTAAGCGAATTGGATCAATAAGATCACGAGCATCATAACGACGTTTCAATGTTCTATTGTACTTAATGTACACTAGATCATTGAGATGCGATATTGTTAGCCTATTCGTTTTTTGGAATGAATTTGTGCATAAGTTATTGATATTAGCTAATAGATATTGATAATAATATAATATGGAAATTAGGATATAAATTTTTTACTTACGTGTTCAAACACACTCCAATTTCGCTCACATCCGGATGAGCTACAAGTTAGGCTTAATACTTTCATGGCAAACTTTTACAAGTTTGGTGTTTCAATATCATATAATGACCACCATTCAACTATAATAAAATAAATTTAAAGGTTAGTGACTATAAATAAGTCAAATAATTTAAGTAAGAATGTAAGATCAACCCACTTACCCAGAGACCTTTTGTCTCTAGCTCTTTTAGCCAGACCACAACCAAATAGTCCATCCGCCATTTTGTACCTAGGAAGCTCTGCGACTAGTGAATCTTGTATTGTTGTATCATGCACCAACTTCTCAACAGATGCATTATACTCGGTCACAAAGTCTGTGCTATAGTTCCCTCTTCTTGAGCTTTATAATATAATCCTGGGTTCAAAACATGGTCTGCATCATGCAAAGGCCGATGGAGTTGTTCTGACCACCTTGCATCAATAATTTGAAACACTTTCTCATATTGCTTCTTAACTCCACGAAAATCATGTGCAATAACTTATTTGGCTCTATCCATTGCTTCAAAAATATAACCTATTGGTGATTTTTTTTCCCCATCCACCAAACGAAGCACTTTTGTCAAAGGGCCACAATCGTAAGTGCTCGAACAACATCATTTCAAAAGTGGACAGAAATAACAAGATTGACGACTTCTTTCCCCGAAGTTTCCTTTGCAAATTTACTTGAATTCCATTCGGTTGAGAGGACTAAAGTTCTCAAGTTTTTTCTTTGTATATACATAACTCTCAAAGTTAAGAATGCCGTTGCAAATCTTATCTTGGCCAGTTTCACCAAATTTCTTTCTTTGGTGAATTTTCTCATCAAGTTTAACAACAATGACCTTTGACTAATGTAAGAATGGATTCTGGTGGCCCTCTTAAAAACTATTACAAAAAGATTAGATTTTATTAATTAGTAGCTAATGAATTATTGACTATAAAGAAAGTTAAAGGATAGGTTGATATGAGAGTGATATTACCGAAAGTATATAGCTTAACCTTGAATATGTCACCAAATATCAAGTTGATGGAATGAGCGGCACATGGAGTCCAATAAATGTGTGGGTACGCACCCATCATCATACTTTTCGCCTTAGCATTCTCAATAGCATTATCGGTGACAACTTGTACAATATTTTCCTACCCAATTCTTTCAATAGTTTTTCAAATAACATGTACATTTTGATGGAATCGGTAGATTCATTGCTAGCATCAACAGAACCAAGAAATACACTACCATTTGGAGAATTCACCAAAATATTGATGATCATTTTATTATTTCGTGCCGTCCATTTGTCCATCGTAATGGAACATCCAAACTTTGTCCATTGCACTTTATGCTCATCAACAATTTTTTCTACTTTCTTCACCTCTTTTTTTAGGTGAGTGACTCTAACTTCATGGAATGTAGGACACTTTATTCTGGGGCCATGTTGTCCTACCACCTCAATAAAATTATCAAATGATTTGTGATTGACGCAATTAAAAGGGAGCCCTGCATCATACATCCAAATTGCAAAAGCACTTACCGCACGCTTTCTTAGTATTTTCTTTGTTTCATCAATTCCTCCTCCTTTTTCAAAGCCTCCTTTTTGTGTTGATTTCTGTGAAGAATAGAGATTCAAAGGGCCTTTCGTCACATTCCACGCAATGGATAATGCACTTCCACTAGAACTAGAAGATATCTTTTGAGTTTTGGAGGGAGGCATCATTTCCTTATAATCATCCATTTGATCAAGATAATCAACATCAATAAATTCTTCCGGCTGCCTCATTTGAAAGTTGGGATTATTAGCGATCTTGTTTTGTATATAAGCCCTTACTTCTTCTCTAATCTCCGGGGGAAAAGCGGTACATTGTTTAACATTCTTGAAACCACCCACTAGATGTTGTTTGTGTCGAGTTATTCCACCATTGAAAGTACTCCCACAAAAGTTACAATTACCCGAATCATTCGTTGCTCCTTGAGGGCCATAATTCCATCCAATGTCCCTCTTTTTGCTAGCATCCGCAATTGGTTATTGAATTCAATCAATTCACTGTTTAGAAATAAATAATTAGGAAACTGGAAAGATTTTTTTTTAAAATTTATAGGTAGTCAATAGTCCATACGCAGAAGGCTGAGGCAGTAAGCACTGAAAGCAGTGAATACTAAATAGGAGAAAAACAAAGCAGTCATCAGTCATCACTCATCACTGATGAGTTTGATGACTGATGAAGGAAAAATACAGAACTGAAACAAAAAACTAAAGAAGAAGAACAGAAAAAAAGAGGCATACGATATACCTCAGGTCTTCAGCAGCAGACAACAACAAGCCAGCAACTCGCAGCATCACAGAGTCGCGACGGGAGAAGAGAGTCGCGAGGCAGAAGAGAACGAGGGATAAGAGAGTTGCGAGGGAGAAGAGATTCAGTCGCGAGAGTCACAACAACATATTTCAAAAGTATTAAAAAAAAAACCTAATTTTGACTAATATTGTTAAGTCAAATATTTTTAAAAAATTTAAATAAAAAGGCGACGCCTTTGCTGTCGCCATATGTCGTCTTTCTGATCTCGTCTCGCCTCAGTGATGAAAGGCGAGGAGGACTCGCCTCGCCTCTCACCAAAGGCGATGAGGCGCTCGCTTTTCATATCACTGCGTCAAATGGGGATAAATTTGGTGAAATTAGTAACGGGAGGGGTAAAATTAACTTCATTTTAACAGCGAGGGTAAATTTAAACAATAAATTAAAATTGAGAGGTATTTTTGACCCTTAACCCTATATATAATCGTCAAAGTAGTTTATTAGTTAGAGTTATATATATTATTTAATAGGCAGAATAGTCCGGTGCATCCTCGTACTTGTATCGGATTGTATTATGGACTCTTCTACTTAGTTTTTTGTCATCTGAACCCTTATACTCAACATAACACAATATATTAAATCTTTTTGACCATTGATCATCTTTATGTGACATTAATATGACAAGAGAGTGTAGTCACACGCCTGCAAAGCCAAGTGAACATGATATTTGAAATTTCAACTTTTACTTTTGAGTTATTAAAATTATTATTTTTTAAAAAATAAATTTAAAAAGGAAAAAAACTTCATCTTCTTCTCTACATTACATTCATCTTCTTCCCCACACTACTTTTTTTCCAACCACCCCAACCCCAACCTATTTTTCTTTCTCATCCACACCCCATTGTTATTTATCTTCATTTTTCTTTCACTTCTTTTTTCTTTCCCCCATCGATCCCTATTTTTGTCCTCTTCAATTATCACTTTCCCTCTTTTTTCCCTCCCGTACCTGAATTTCTATCTTTCTGCCTTTCCTTGCTCCTTTTCAACTTCTTTCTTATTTTTTTTTGTTACCCTAAATAAAAATTGAAATTGGGCAAAAATTTTTGAACATAATAAGCAAAGAAAAATCATAAATTAGTGGAGTTGTTGATATCTCTAATAAGTAACTTGACCTCTTTTGGTGGTAAAATTATTCTTGTATTTGTAAGCAATTTAAGGTGTAAATAGTGGTTAACATTGGATTATGAAAAGTTTGGTTAGATCTGGTTGTTAGGTGGCTTGGTTGTTGTTATTGTGGTTGTTAGGTTGTTGTTACTTTGATCTTGCCGGTAAAAATGATGATGACACCGGCAAAAATGGACGCCATCGTCAAAAATAGAGACGACGCAATGACTCCATCGATTTCTCCGGCATTGACGAGATCCTCTACCTTGTTCCGACCAGTTTGTATTGCTATCCATGCCGAAAAATAAAAAATGCTACATTTGATTTTACAAATTGAATTCTAATGGTTTTTACGATGCCGATTTGGTGGTGAAATAGTGAAAATAGGGAGGATTAAAAATGTTAATAATAAATTAAAGTGGCACTAGCGGGGGGAGTGAAGTAGTTTGATGACTTCATCATATTGCTGGATTGTGAAAAAATCAAAGAAGAAAAAAATAGAGATATGGAGATGGTGGAGTTTTGATAGTGATGATGGGTTAGGGAAGGTGGAGGAAAAGTGTACAAAAATAATAATTTTATTTTATTTGATAAAATAAATTTTTTTAAATTTGTCTTTTATTTAATATTTTTACTAATAATTAAAAAATTATTATAAAGAAAATTATGACTTGACATTAATAAATATGACATGGACATGATATAGATATAACATGTCATCTATGTAAGGGAGAGTGAGATACATATATGATCAGAGAAATTTAAAAATCTCATTTTGGTTAAGTGTAGGAGTCCAGATTATAAAAAGTTACGATTCGATACAAGTACGAGGGTCTATCAAACTATTCTGTCTTATTTAATATATAGATAAGTTAGAAAGAAAATTATATATATTTTACATATGCATAATTTAATTATTTATTTATATATTCATTATGCCTAACATCTGTGGTGGAAAAAAGAGTTTTTATTAAAAAGAATTAAAATATAAAGTGAATTAACAAAAAATTTAAAGAGTGACAATTTTCTGAGGTGTCCCTCAACATTCAACATGTGGCTCCATGACTGTCTAGCATATAACTAAATGCAATAGTTTTAGGTACAATTATGTTCATTAATACAGATCAACCATGTCAATTGTATATTTGTGAAATCTGATACAGCAAATACAATATGAGTTTAACTTTTGTCTCATCTTACTCTTAGAGGTGGACTCACCTTTATCAATAGGATAGCACGTGTATTTATTAATTTTTGAAAAATCATGTGTATATATGTATAATTATCTTGAGAAATTAGTAAAAGATTGAGCATAAAGAATTAAATTTAAATCATATCATTTTTTCCTATCATGTAACTGTAAATCGTAATTAAATCGAACTTTTCTTTTTAATAATATTTTTTTGAGTATCTAGGGTAGCTTTTTGTGTTGCCTATTTTAAATTATGTTATAATATTTTAATTTTTTTATAGCCTCCATCAAATTTAATATGAAAATATTTTCTGAAATTAAAAGGGTTAGATTTTGACAAATTTAAGAAATCAAAACTGTGAATTGCACATAATGGACCATTTTTACTGACTGATGGTAAGCTTTAAGAATCAAAACTGTCAACTGCATACTTAAAGAAGCCATCTTGAAATACCTCAAACTTAGGGGACCATTCTTGTAATTTTCTCCTTAAAATTACAGGGGAAGGGAAACAGGATTTGCTCAGAAACCTCACGGCACCACGACTGTGATCTCGCCACCGATGCCGCCGTGAACTACCAGTACTTTGCCGGTAAATCATTTCCACTCTTACCTCTGTTTTAACCCACTTTATCGCCACCATTTAGCCACCTGAAACCACCCTGCCATCACCGCTGAAACAACCAAAACAGCTGCTAAATCCACCACTTGATTCCACCCCTCACGGACCTGAATTATACCAAAACTACCGTTCCTTCCCATTGAAAGAATCCTAATGACGCTCTTCCCATTTTTGCAATTCCGGTGTTGTCTTCTATATCGTTAACTTTCGGGGTTTGGGTTGCAGGTCGCGGTTCAATCTGCCGGCAAGGATTTTCGGTCTGTTTTCAGTTGTTCCGGGCTTGTTTGTCTAATTCGGAATCTGAAGGATTGTTCTAATTTGAGGTCCATTCTCACTCTCCTTCTCATTTTTTTTTCTTTTACTCTTGTTTTCTTTTAGCTTGTGTGTGCTTATAAGTATATCATTTTCCGATTGGAATCTGGTTTCATGCGTATTTGTGAATTGATTTTGATTGATATTTTATGTTAGTTAATCATGAAAGGATAACAAGTGAACTTGGATTTGGATTTGGTAAAAGAGCATGGATGAACCTTGGCTTGATTATTACTGGTGAAATAGGAATGAATCAAAGGAATTGGGCTTGAGATAGGATCAACTGCTGTTATTTCAGTCGTATGGGCTAGTAGTGGTATGATTAGGCCGTCAAGGTAGTAGGAAAAATCTTAGACTTGTTTGGTGGATTATGTGTTTACTACTTTCAAGAATAATTACCTGTTTTCCTGGAAATTCCCCAAATATCAAGGAGAAAACCCTGAGATGTCGAGTGAAGCTTAATTTAGGATAGTATAGGTAGTGTAGGCTTACTATCAGTACTCTTTTTTATTTTGGACTGGAATAACTTTGGACACTGTTCTACACACTGTATGTGATTGTTATTCAGTGAGTTTGTCCAATTGAGTTTCATTTGAATTGATATGAGTCAATGAAGTGATCATGCTAGAATAATGGATCGAGGGGTGCCTCGCATCTTTTCCTCAGTCTACAAAATTCCTTAACAAGAACCGCCATCGCAAATTGGGTTTGGAGCCAAATGTATTTTTCTATAGGAATCTTTCTTTTAAACAGTGACTTGTCACACCAGATTTTGATGCCAACTCCATTTTTATGAGTCCATTTGAAAAATTCAATCTTTTTTCACTTTCATCTTGAAAATCCTTTGATCTTTTAACTACAAATATTTGGTGGAAAAAAGGGGTGTGTAATAATTCCAAGTATTGGTATGAATTGATACTTGCTAATATGATTTTTTTGTAGATTTGTGAGCGGGAGGAAGAATATCTTAGGTTTTCTGCTGGGATATACCATATTACATCATTTGATTGGGAAAAATCTTCTTATTTTTCTCCTGGAATTTGAAGGAATGTCAAAAGTTAGAGACAGAACGGAAGATTTTAAAGATGTTGCACATCGATCAGCATTGTCTTTGGGATATGATGAGGTACATTAACTAGTTCATCACTTTTCTCTATTTTTCATCGAAAGGATTATGTAGCATGTTGTGAAATGTCTTGAAGAATTTTCATGCTCAGATGACCCCTATGGTCCTATGTCTATTACATTGAGTGTGATTGTGCATATAGCTTCAGTAATTTCCTTATGTATCAATTGTTCATATCTTACTGGATTAAATGTTCGGTTTTATAATTAAACTGATCAAGAGTTTTTGTGGTTGCAAATATCTGGCAATTTTGTTTTTCATCACAGATGATTTATAACCCTCTTGTTAGCTGAGAACTATTCCATATAATTAAACTTCAACACTCTCTTTCCCGCTCCTTATTTTTAGCCTATGTCATATTACCATCAGATCTTAGTTTATATGTCCTCTGAACTTAGATCTTTGTTGACAGTCTAAGACTGCTGCCTTATTGGCATCTTTTATCATGCATAAACCTCGGCAAAAGTCAGGATTCACCAGAGCTGCGCTTAAAACGGTATAATTGTCTACACCTAATGCTTATTTTCTTTTGTTATGTTGTTTCTGCTTTAGATTTTGTATCCTTAAGTTCATAAATAATCACAAATTAAAAATCCTTTTCATATTTTTTCATATGTCAGCTAGAGAGTATTGGGACTTTGGAACAATTTTTGATGAAACACAAGAAGGATTATGTTGATCTGCACCGTACAACTGAACAAGAGAGGGATAGCATTGAGCATGAAGTAAGTTTGCATATTTTGATATTGGTTTTCTTTCTTTCCTTGCTGTACCTTTTTTCATTTTTTTTTTTGTGGATTTCAGAAAAGGATAGTTATAGCTAGACTATCTTCCTCTTGCTTCTATGGTTTCTGTACATAGAAAAATTTATTCTTGGTGCATGATGCTCTCTTATCATGATGAAAACAAAAGGGGTGTTTCAGTTTGCAAATAGGATTAGGCCATATCACAAGGGTGAGGTTGGAGTTGCGATTACATATTTGAGAATTGAGATAGTTTTACTATTTTGCCTCTATTAGGTGGTGATTTGCAATTTTTAAATTTAGGAAAATATCAATCATCTTTTAATTTTAAACTAGTTGGGGCGGCTATATGAATCTTATATATCTATTCCGATATCCTGCTATATTTGGATCCATTTTATTTTAATACTTACAAGAAGTATTCTTTCAAGGCAAATTATCATCCATATGGTTCTTTCTCTTATATGCTAACCTCATGATTCTAAGTGTACAACTTACCTTTTAGAACTTTTAATCACATCTTTGAAGTAGTGCTTTCAGAGGTTTATGTAGGACAGGCCCTAATCATCTCAGATAATGTTCTCTTAGGTTATATTCTATGTATTCTACTTACTCTTTCTAAAGATAGAAGAGAAAAATCATATAAAGTTATATACAAATCACTACCCCTTTTTTGCATTTCCCTAATAGAATCATTCAGTAACTTCCACAACAATTGGAATTTGACCTCCTGTGCCTTTGCTACTTGCTCTTTCTATCTGATGTGGTAAATTATAATCTTATCTAATTGTGTATGGCGTGCATCGATCTTAACATCTATATTCATACAACACTCATCTTGTGGACATATTGGCATTTGGGCCCAACAAATACTCCAATATAATGTTATTGGTTTCAATTCGTTCTATAGCACTTACCTTTCTCTTTGTTAATTATCACCTGTATACATCTCTTGTAGCATTCCTTTATTTCAGCCATCAATTTTTCTTTTATGTGATACATTTTCATCTAAATGTCATTTTTTAGAAAATTGGGTCTTTATATCCGAATTGTATGCATTCGGGTACCACAGTTGTGTCCAATCTCACTTCACATGCGTTTTTCTTATGGGGGCTAATGCTGCAGTGCTTGATTTCACTAAGAATTATTCATGCAGTCAATTGGGATGAGAGACAATCTTATGAGAAGGATTTTCCCTTTAGTTTTAGGTATGGGTCTAGTAACAGTAAATTTAACATAATAACACTCGAAGAAAGATTTTTTCTGTTTTTGGTCTGGTTGTCAGGGATGACCAAAGGTAGTGGATTAGGAAAGTGTTTGCTGATCTGCAGTTCCCATTTCATGGAATCATTGTCCCAAACTCCTTCTCCTGGACCTTGAATAAATATTCAGTAGCTCATTGCTGCTTTTGGGTTAGCCCGCATTTGTAATTGCTAAAACCATGAGAGAACTGGGTGAATGATGGAATAAATTAGTCCTGATATACATCTTGAAGATTTTTCTGAAGATCGATCTTGTATATAGTAAATGATCTTGTTTTTATTTAGTTATTTTTTTCAGTTTTATGTAGATTAACTAATATTTAATATTGTATAAAACAATATTAAGTTCAGTCCATGCAATAATGTAAATCCTGGGAAATTACTAAGAATATTATGGATGAAAGCCAATAGAAATTAATTGTTGGTTACAGTACTCTAACTCCAAGTTTGACTATTAACTATGACCTACGGAATTGGCACTTCAGCACCAAGGTGCTGTGTTTGATTTATTTTCCTGCTGTTTGCTATAATCAATTTTTTTATGAGAAGTTGAAAATTACGTCTTTGTTAAATTACCCTTGAAATGTTTGATAAAATCGCATCTTGTTTTCCTTCTTTGTCAAGTTTGATGTCCTTGTTCACTTTTGAGTCTGGAGAAAGAGATCCTTATCCACCTTTGTGGTTGACTTCTTCTTGTGTAGCTTTGTTTTGAATGCTAATGCACTTAATTGAGATTGTAAAGTTAGAGTTAAAAAAACTTACTAACGCAACTTTCTGCAGGTTACTATTTTTGTAAAATCATGCAAAGAGCAGATAGATGTTCTCAGAAATAGTATAAACGAGGAAGATGCAAATTCAAAGGGATGGCTTGGTTTGAAGGGTGACAATTTGAATGCTGATACTATAGCACACAAGCATGGAGTGGTATGGTTGCTACTTGCAATATAGTGATTAAATATTCTCATTATTTGATTAGGACTGCTTCCTGACCTCTTCCCACTTTCCGCTGGTATTTGGAATTTTTGAAGTAACTTTATCGATACTGTTGAATTAAAGATATTCTAGTGCAATTTTCTACAATCAGCAGAACACTGTCGTAATTGTAATATCATATTTATTTTGTCTCCAATTTTCTGCTGGGGTTTCGTAGTTTCTACGAATAACCTCTTTTGAAATAGAGAAATTATGTAAATATCTCTGATGTTAGCAGCATTACTTCGAAATGTTGTCTTCATTATGATACAATTTGTGAAGTATCCATGTTCCTATTTAAATTTGGATCTCTTACCGCCTCAGATTTTCTTTCCCAGAATTTTGTTTCTTAGAAAGTAGATGCGTTGTGTGGTTGTTCTGTGATTTGCATTACATATCGCTTAGTTGTATTGCCATACTCCTGCAACTGCATATGGAGTAATAGAAATCACTAGATTGTTGTGATTGTTAGTACCTGTTGATGACGTAAATATAGTTTTTCAACCTAAGCGATGGTCTGTAATCAGATGAAAGTAGGTCTAAAGCTGTTTCTCTTACTTGTTTTCAAATTGCCTCTTGTGTACGCTGAGAGTGAGGCTGAGGATGTAGAAGGAAAAAAAAAGATCTTTTGGAATAGAGAGCCAATGCATTGAAAAGCATATTTGTTCTGGTTTATCATGAGATCCACAGTAGGTGAAATCCTTTAGTAGTATACACCTAATGGTGCACTGCTGTGCTTTTCATTCTTGGGGTGTGGATGCATAACCATATTCATTGTTTGCTTTTATACTGCAGGTTTTGATTTTAAGTGAAAAGCTTCACTCTGTCTCATCACAATTTGACCAATTGCGGGCAATACGGTTTCAAGATGCTATTAACCGAGTGACACCAAGAAGGAAACGTAAGAACACTACCAAATCAAATGCTGCAGAGACCTCTGTTTCTAGTAATTTGGACCCCAACATGAAAAGGGACTCTGAGGGTCTCGGGGACCCCGATACACAAGCAGCGCCTATAAGAGTCCAAGAACAACTTTTGGATGATGAAACACGTGCCCTACAGGTAAGTGGGAAGTTTGCTGATAGAGGATTTAATTCTGCCAGATAAGCATTCTTAAAGCTAAAATCACATATACTTCGTTCCTGTAACCTACTATGATCACTCGAATGGTGCAGGTAGAGCTGAACAGTCTCCTGGATTCTGTTCAAGAAACAGAAACAAAGATGGTGGAAATGTCTGCGTTAAACCATCTCATGTCTACTCATGTTTTGCAACAGGCCCAACAGATAGAGCTTTTATATGAGCAGGTTAGTGGTGTTGTTGCTTTTTTACTTTCTAGTTGGATTGAGCTTTTATCTTGTTAAACATGCCTAGAAAATCATTTTCTCTCACATTGTTCAACTAATTTAGACAATCTCTGCATTTTCTCTATCAACTTCGCCATTTGTAACCATTTACTAGTTAGAACTAACAAACATCACAAATCACAGATCTACTTCTTTTATTCCATGTCTAATCTTTATGCTGTTAATACTTTAATTTGTTCATTAAGCATTCTAAATCCCCCTTTGTCAACTGAGCTTAACAATTGTCCGCAATAGAATACATGCATGACAAGAAAGAAGAAAGAAAGATTAGAAAATAATGCAACAATGGAATACATGTTTGTAGATGATCAACCAGGCTACATGATTCTTTGAAGTGCACTGAACAGAGCAGATTATGTCATTATAAATTGTATCCTGGTCTGTTAACAAATTAATCTTCTAGTATGGATTTTGATAACTGTATACTTCTCAAAAGTTCTGGATGAAGTCTATGCCTTTGGTAATTAACGTTTGAGTTTCAGTTGGTGTGAATTTATGGTTTTTCATTTCAGGCAGTTGAAGCTACCCAAAATGTGGAACTTGGCAACAAAGAACTGTCGCAAGCCATTCAACGGAACAGCAGCAGCAGAACTTTTCTTTTGCTCTTTCTATTTGTACTTACATTTTCAATCCTCTTCCTCGATTGGTATAGTTAATTTTAGGGATTTTCACGCTATTTTTGGTTTTACGAGAGTATAGTGTCCAACTAAAGTTGAGTAACTTTACTAGAAATTTCGAGGCAATTATCTGTTGTATTTATTTGTACTGTTATCATTGTTACTTGCCCATGCCACCAGATACCAATATTGAACTGAACTTTGATTCAACATGGCTTTTGGTGTAGTTTTGATGAGATCGATTCAACTTGGGCCTCTACAATAACAGAATTTTCAAGTAATTTAACTTGTAATTGCATATAATATAATTCAAATAACTAAGAAGTAAGATATACTCCCTTACTTTTGAGTTTACGTTGTGTGCAAAGAATTTGACCAGGAATTAAGATCTTTCGTCTACTTCTAAAATGAATAGATGAAGATGGTTTTTTGAACTCATAAGCTTTGAATTAAAGTTAAAGGACTCATTGAGCCTTTCAAATTTGTTTCCACACCATTATAATTTCATAGAGTGATACAAATAAGCTTACACTAGATGAATAAAAAATGTGACTAGGTAGTGCCTGCCTTCATTTTATTCCAAAAATGGTTGTACAGTTTTGTTCTATTTTGCTTCATGAACCAAAAACAAAATGCTTGGGACTTGAGATTTATCTAATATTAATGTAGTTTCTTGTTATTTGAAATGTAAGTTTGGTATGGTATGAATGAAAACTTGAAAAATGTTTCATATTTGGTTGGCCTAAATGTTTTCCTAATCAAAATCATTTTGATCAAATTTAATGAAAACATCCAAAATAAATAAATAATTAAATTACTCTAGCTCTTGTACCTGTTTAGACTAGATCCATGAAAGTTGTTTAAATTACTTTATAAGTCTTTTAACTCGAAATTGTTTTAAATGTTTTTAATCAAGAAATCCGGTATTACATTATTCTTTATATTCAAATTTTTCCTTGTTTTAAATTGTTGGGATATGAGAGTTCTCCTACTTAGTGGTAATATGTAAGTGTCTGCACAACCTGATCTTGACGACTAGTGCAACAGTTTGTGTAACTGGAGCTGCTGGATTCATTGGTTCTTGGCTTGTCACGAGACTTCTTGAAAGTGGCTATAACGTTCATGCTACTGTTCGTAATCTTGGTACTAACAAATTTTCCGCTTATACGGTGTTGTGGGGAGAGATAATTAATTTAAAATTTCCTCTACTTATTTTTTTCAATTTCTATCAAAAAAGTCAAAATTTTCATCATTTTTAAGAATATGTTTTTCTAGAAAAAATATTTTGAACAACCAAACATACAAAAATGAGAAAATACTTCTTAGAAAAATGTTTTCCTCCATTACCAAACACAATAACACATCCTTTTATACTGATAATTTATAATAAAATTTTGAATTGTCAATTAGTAATCAACCTTAAAGATAGTTATATCTAGATTGTTTATAAAAAGTGAGATTAATAACGTGAGGAGACATGCACATTAAGATGCACTAATTGTGTATAAGTTACTTGCACTGCGAATACATATAGATTAAAATGATTTACGACTGACACGTAAACTAATCTTAGTTAACCCATGAATTAATTGTTCACCAATTGTAGAAAATAATAAGAAGGTGCAACATTTTTTGGAGTTACCAAAAGCTGATCCAAATTTAACTCTATGGAAAGCAGACTTAAGGAAGATGGAAGCTTTGATGAAGCCATAAAAGGGTGTGAAGGAGTATTTCATGTGGCCACTCCCATGGATTTTGAATCCAACGAGCTTGAGGTAGTGTGTTCATCTTATTTAAAAATTTAAATTATTTAATAAAATTTATTTTTAGTTAACGAGATTAATATATATGACAGAATTAATGAAGTAATAAAACCAAAGGCGAGGGGAATATTAAGCATCATAGAATCATGTGTTGAAGCAAAAACAGTGAAGAGGCTAATATTCACTTCTTCTGTTGGACAACAACAACAATAACAAAAACTTATCTATGATGACAACAAGAAGTGGATTTTATATATGCTTACAAGATGACGGGATGGGTAATTTCCTTTTACGTTTAAAATTTAAGCTATATATATCAATAATAATGATATACGTTTGTTGATGTGTTAGATTGATTATTTTCACAAATCAAGCACATAATTTTTTTTCTCCTCGTAATGGATAGTGGTTAGACTCTAATTCATAACTTTATCAACTTGTGTATATATAGAAGTGTGTAACTATTTTGCGTCGAATATATATAAGGTATGTTAAAAGTTTAAAAAGATAAGATTCATAAATAAGATTCATTGATATTATTAAAGTGTATTATGACCATCTCATCAATATATAAGTTTAAGCTTTCATTAAATTTGATGTTCACTTATTCAATATGGTATTAGAAGATTCGAAAGATAATGAAATTGAGTCTCGCCATCATCCATAAAAAAGAACCCTACCTCATCGCAAAATGTGAAGCTAACGTGAATACCATGAGCGTAATTGAGATATAAAGTAAAAAAAAATGTACTCTTTCTAACAAGTACTTTTAGATGAAACGCTTGTATTTCAATACATATTATAAAATTTCTTTACATTATAAAATGTACTAAGCTCAACATAGTAGAAATCTTCATAGAAATACCTAGTCAGATCAATATTATTTATTTTTCCTAATTGATATACATATGTTGTATCTTTTGTTCAAGTAATTGGATAATTGATTATTTAGATTAAATTTTCAAATTTAAATATTTTGGATAATCCTTTTTTCCACTATCACACGAATATTGTTAGTTTAATATCTTTTATAATATTAAACCTAAATACAGGTCATCATTCGACCATGTTAAATTGTTTTAGTACTAATCATAATTGTCATCTTTTTTTTTTCAAATGCCATAAATTAAATAAGTATCATTGTGCCTTTTCCAGCGTATTTTCCATTTTCATTCCCATATTTGAATTTTCTTTATTGATTATACAAATTGACCCACCACCCACCCACGCGGGAAGAAGGAAAAAAATAAAAATAACTAATAATAAAAAGATGAACAAATAAATAAAATAACATCGTCTGTTAGGACCACTATCCACTAATTAACAAAATTATATTGACCATTGCCATCCATGATGCTAGGAAAAGTCACGCCTAATATCTATTTTTATTATTATCAATATAATTTATATGACATCTTTTTTTATCCTAAAAATATTTAACATTATTTTGTGTTCATATAAATATTATGCGGTTTTTAAAAGAATTTAATTTGTTAAAGTATTCACAGTTAAACCTTGATATTATGTTTCCCCTCTTTTTGACCATTGTTTAAATATTTTCTGTTACAAATTTATTGAATGAGTGGATAGTCCATAAGGTTGGTACATGAACAACCATTCATATTCACTAGGTTACATGAACCTTTTTGGATAAGAATGTATCTATTTATTATGATACTTAATATGGTGACATTTGGAGTGATTTCTCAGTCTATATCTTATAATGAGACTTACATACACTTGAATAAGAAGAAAGTCTTATCTTCCATCTTACTTCTCTTGTCTTCATCTCTTTATATTTATATTGTCATGAGCTTAATTTTATAACACGTTATCAGCACGAGTCTCTATCCAATTGAGAGTGCGTTCTTGTTTTTCTTTAGCTCATATTTTGGTTGATCTCGTTACGAAGATCAAAGTATTATATGCATAAAATCAGGTATGTATTTTCTAGAATATTTTATGATTTAGAATAAAAATAATATTCAGTCATTAACAATTATCAAGAACCGAAGACATATACTACTATTGGTTGAATATAACATGCTATACAAAACTTCTTAAATAGAAGAAGGTATAAAATTTTAATAGCATGAGTTTGAATGTTATTTTGATTGTTTTGAAAGACTGAAAGGGTGAGTCATGTTGTACTTCGGTTTATTATACCGTTGTTAAGGGTAAGACGATGGATTCAAGTTTCATCGCACCAAAAGAGTAAGACATCA